TGGCTCAAGCCCCGAGGGGGATGGGAGTCCGGTCTGATGGGCAGCTTCTGCCACCCGGACCTCCCCCTCCACTTCAAACCATGACAGTGACCAGATGGCTGCTGAACTTTGGGCTGACGAGGGGGTCTGTCCATTGCTTCTGCATGCTGGTAGTAGAAAACTGCTCTAGAAACACACTTCTCTCTTGAAAGACATCAATTCTGCGCTGTACTCTTAGTCTATTCCTGGGCTGCAAATACCCTTTTTCTAGTCTGCCGACATTGTCTATAACACTAAGTTTCTTCAGCATTTCCCTAGAAACAGTGATTCTGTAAGTTCCTCAGCTACCATAAGGCAACCCAGTCAACCCTACAGCTGTCCGCATAGCACTGGGTTTTTGCTAGCATGGCAGGAAGACGCATTAGAAATGGCAATACCTGAAAATCTCTTACATCTCCCCAGACTTGGGCACTTTGGCTGCTTAAGCCCTGTCCTAGCACATTTCTTCAGCTCCCCAAAGTGACTGTCCCCTGAACTGGACCCCTAAAACTTACATTAAGATGATGTCTCTGGTTTTTCAGACTGGGAAGAAGAGGAAGGGGGAATTCTATTCTCAGGCTGCCATTTGTCATCCTGCTTTATCCCCATCAAGTGCCGACATGCTGCATCCTTTGGGCCAGAGCCTGTTAAATCATTACAGCTGCAATTTAAAGATCACATGTACTGCCCTTTTAGCTTTTCACACACTTGGCCATCTTCATGAAACTAAGTGTATCTCATTATGCTGAGCCAGCTGCATCTGTGCGAAAGTTCAGAGGAGAGTTAAAGGTTGTTCTTTAAGAGGCAGAAGGCTGCAGTCTGTCAGGTTAGACACTTCTCAGGGAAGGCTTTGGCTCTAGCCAGAGCAAGAGGGACCTGATCTGTCATGGTAACTTCAGACTCCTGAGTAGGGTACCTGAATCCAGGGACCTCATGGCCGTAGAAGGTGTAGGAGACACATCTAGTCTTCTAGCTCTTCTGATGATCCTACACCTGTCCTACAGCACTGTGATTAGAGAGGAGAGGAGGCAGTGTAGGCTGGTGGCTGGCTGGCCGGTTGGCTGATTGGCCAGGTGGCTGGGAAGCATGTGGGTTGCAGTTATTCAGGAGGCTCCTGATGAGGCTTCTTGCCTACCTGAGGAGATGGAGAAGGATGAATGTGCAGCACAAGGAACCACTTTTGGGCTGTCTGAGCCAGATCTACGGCTTTGCAGGCTGCCTTGAAAACGTGGGGCTGACCTAAA